TTCCCTTCCCAGATTGCTTCCCGAAATTCCCCTAAGCAGCGGCTGTGCGCAGTACCGAGGTCGGCCCTGGGAGGGGAGAGGCCCTGGCCTGCACAGCCAAACTGTGACCAAATCAACATTCCAGCCCCTGTTTCTGAGGGAACTTCCCTCCCTTTCCCCACTGTCAGCAGTGCCAAAATCAGCATGGTTTCCTCCGGAGTGAAGCACCCCAGGGCCCAGCCAGCCCCGAGGCTGGGGCCAGGTCCCCAGAGGGTCCCTGAGGGTCCCCCCTGGCCCTCAGGAGCACACCCCGAGCCACGGGCCACAATTCCTGCACACACTTCCCAAATATCTCCCTGGGAACGGGCTGGAACCCAGAGCTGTCTCCTGTCCAGGCCAGCTCCCATCAACAGTGTGAAAAATGAGGTTCACATCATTTTTATAGCATTTAAAAGTTTAATAAAAAAACCAATTAGGATTAAAAATAAAGCAAAGTATACAGATAGGGCCGGGTGTCTCTGCATTCACCTCACTGACAAAGGATTGTCCCTTAAAAACAGAACCCTGCTCCGTATCCATCAACTGGATAAGAGAGTTTATAAAAACAAAAAAAAGGGTCTCCAACTTTCTTTTTCAGTCTTTGGGTTATATAGACAAAAGTAATTTTTATTTTAATGCTATGTCATAACTTAACATACATGTATTATACCACCATTTCTAAGTTTCATCAATAACAGAAATAAAGAAAACCATATTAATACAACAAAAATTTCCAGTCTTATACACATAACATTCATTTTAATATTAGCGAAAAGCCAACAATATATGTATCTATAACAATGGTGAGGAGAAGGGCTCCGGTCCCACCGAGCCCGTGCCAGCAGAGACTCTCCAGACTTGAATCAACATTTGCTTCAGTGGGGGATTTTCAGCTGCTCTATTTAAATGCTGAATTTTCTTTTTCATTTCCATGCTTAACTCATAAAAACTGAATTTATTTGGGTTGGGTGCCGATGCCTGCAAGCACAGCTGCTCACCAGCTCTCTCTGCTTGCTATGTAAATGCATGAGAAGAGGATTTCAAAGCCTTTTCCAGCCTGCCCAGCACCAGAATTTGGGTTTTCTTCCTCTTTTACCACTGTGTTGATGCACCCAGGGTGCCCCAAAGCCCAGCACCTCCCCAAAGCAGAGCTGTGTAAAAACATCTCATTCTCTGCTTTGTAGAGAACTCTGGAGATGGAAAACCTGCTCCCAAAGAGTGCAAGGGCAGAAATAAACCCAGGATGGGTTATAGGGGCAGAAATAAATCCAGAAGGGCTGCAGGAGCAGCAATAAATACAGGGTGGGCTATAGGGGCAGAAATATATCCAGGGTGGGCTATAGGATCAGAAATACATCCAGGCTGGGCTATAGGATCAGAAATACATCCAGGGTGGGCTGCAGAGAGGCTGAGGGCAGCTGAGCTGGATCTGTCCTGGAAAAGCAGCAGCTCCAGGATGGGGTACACTACTTAGAGGGAGGTTCCTGTCCCTGGATCCAGAACGCTTTCAGCATTCCCCGAGGTTATCCTGACGATTTCAAGGGGTAACACACGAGGCAGGACTCAGTCACTCTGTTCTCCCCACTGCCACAGGAGGATTTGGTGTTGCCAAGCCCAGGCACACCCACGGAGCTCCAGCACCAGAGGGGCACTTTGGCTCCATGTGAGTGCCATCAGATCCTTGGGAAGGGGCTGCAGGCTCCGGGAGCTGCTCCTTGCCCCGGCTCTCTCCAGGTGTGGCCTGCAGGAGCAGCTGAGATGTGCTGCTGAGGGAGCCAGGGCACGGCAGCCTCACCCTGGGCTTGCCCAGTGGGTCTGGGGCTCCCGAGGCCGCCCTGGCCGAGCTGAATTGGAGTTTTGCTGCTCCCTATTTGTAATCCCTGGATTTTGCTCTCACTGCTGTGTTACTCAGCTTAAAGACCATTGACCACACTGAGCTGTGTGAGCAGAGCAGCCTCAGAGTCACACCAGCTTCCACTGCTGGGAAATTCATTTACACAAACTGGGTTTTGAGCTGTTTTTGCTTCAGACACGCTCAGACTGTGGATCCAGCCCTTTAATCCACATTCGCCTAACTGGTTTTGTACTTGCTGTGTGCAGAAATGAACATGTGTAAAAGCAAACTTAATCTGGGTATTCCCATTGCTGCTCTCTCCTTCTGGAACAGATGGCAGCAACAGACACTGCTCCCAACAAAACTTCATTTGCAGGAATTTTGCCTAAACACCCTCCCGGGAGCTGGGATTGGGATCCCTGTGCAACCCCTGCTGCCCCACCCCAGAGCTAAATAACTGAATCATGGGGTTAGCACAGAGTGGCGCCATGCTGCCCAGGAAAATCCCCAAATTCCCGTTCCTGCACAAAGGCAGGGCCAGGGGTGGCCCTGAGGGCACACAGTGCCATCAGCACCCTGGGAGAGGATGAGAGATTCCCTAAGAAGCACCAGGAGCTGCTGGGAGCTCAACCAGCCAAGGCAGCATCAGTGCCAGGTGAGAGGATCTGAGCAGTGGCCAGAATGGGGAGGGGAACAGTGGGAAAGAAAGGTTTTCCATCCTGGGGAGTTAATCCAAGGTAACTCCAAGGAAACTGTGCCAGCCACCAGTAGAAAATATCCCTGCCTTCCTCACCTTCAGGGCTGATGGCAGGAATTTCCACACCAGGCTCTAGGGTAGGTCAAGAACATTTACTTTTAAAGCTTCTGGCTTCAGGTTTAAGAGAGTTTCAGCACCTCCAGGTCCAGATAAAACAATTCCAGGGAAGAAGACTCCATCCCTGATGATGGGGCTGGTTCCCATAACTAACCGGGCTGAACCTGGGTTTCACTCCAGGTGTGAAATGTCTGAACTGCGGGGGATGCTCAGAGGCTGCCCTGGGCCAGCCCTCCCCAGCCCTGAGGGGTGGTGGCAAGCACAGGAAATGTGCCTGGATTGTGGGAATACAACATTCCTGGAGCTCTCTGTTGGAATAACCAAACTCTAGCAGCATTCCTGAAGTTCTCCACTTGGAATAACCAAACTCTAACAGTGTTCCTGGAGCTCTCGGAATAACCAAACTCTAACAGCATTCCTGGAGCTCTGGAATAACCAAACTCCAACAGCATTCCTGGAGCTCTGGAATAACCAAACTCCAACAGCATTCCTGAAGTTCTCCACTTGGAATAACCAAACCCTCACCAAGGGAGAGGCTCTGGCATGGAGTAGGGATGGGCTGGAGCCTCCTTCCGTCCCGTTTCCATCTGGCTCTGGGTTGAACAAACACCGACAATGCCCCAGTCAGCTCCCACTTTGCATCTCATGGAACACCAGATGAGCTCCTTTGTCCCGAGTTATTTCCAGCCCTATGTTTCCATCCGGAGCTGCATCCAAACTCTAATGAAATCAATTCCTGGATCAGAACCAGGGACTGGCTGCCAGCACTGGGCTTTGAAGACCTCAGCACCCACGGAAAAGTGGAGCAGTCACTGAGGGAGTTTTGTGGCCCAGTTGTTCCCCAGCCGTGTGTTAATCAGGGCATGGTGTCCTTTAACTTGGAAATAAAGCTGAGTTTATCCCCCCAGCCCAGAGCCAGGGCTGCTTTAACATGTTTAACCCACTTTCTAAAGATGCTGAATTATTTGCAGCAGACTCTTTACCTCGATGAGCCCAGAATTAGCCCGAGCCTTTATGGGATGTTTTAATGGGCAAAGCAAATCTGACCTGGTGAGATTTACCAGCTTTATTAGCAGCAATAACAATTTTACTGTCAACAGCAGTAAATCAGGGTTCGTTTGGAACTCCACCACTTTTATCTGGAGCAAGCAATTAAAATGTCAGGTTTTCATTGGACATAATTCCTGCCTTCCATAGAAGACAGACTCCCTGTTTAAGTGGGGAATGTAAAGCTGCCAGTTCAAAGAAATCTAAAATTCTCAATAAAATTCAATCAGACCAAGGATGTTTGGGGAGTCACACCTGTGGAGCTTTGTTTTATCTACAAACCAGATCCATTTTCCAGAGCACACATCCAGCAATCCTGGCAATTCTCTGCAATGCAACATCCATTTTCCTGGTAATGAGTGCAAATACCACAGAGCTGAGGAGAAGGTCGGAGCAGAAATTGGACTGACAGAGTAAAGCACACCAGAAAGCTGGACACAAATCCAGCCACTCACTGAGCCCATCTCTGCCTCATTTTCCTCTCCTTTAGCACTTCTGCCTCACTGATGGTGTCTCTGCATTTCTCCTCTTTATTTCCAGGGACATCTGCTGCAATCCCTTCTCATTAACTAAAAGCACACATTTCTCTGGGGTCTATTTTCCTTTTCTTCCTTCAGTTATTACCAACCCCAGCCACGCTGGGGATAAGGGGCAAAACCAACTCCTGAGTGATCCAACTGCTGTCATTCCCCAGAAGGTGCTGGAGAGAACTGCAGGGTGCAATTAAAATTCAACATTTCCTTGGGTTTTAAAGCCCCTGCAATGGATTTTTAAACACAACCCACTTCGAACCTCTCCCTCCAAGAGCAGCCTGGTTATTGCCGTTTTAAGGCTTCCCCATCGTTTTCCTGTTAAGATCCAGCTCTCATCACAAAAAGCCTGTTTAAAGCTAAGCCAAACCCCACCAAATTATTACTTGCAGCAGATTTTCTCTCCCCAGCAACCATTTATCATAATATTTTTAGGTTCGCCTTTTACTTTGTCTTGTTTTTCGAGGAGAAAAGTAATTCCTGGGAAAATGTGCAACAATCTGCTTTCAGTTTGGAAGCACAGGACTTGAAAATTGTCTGAAAAGCAGGATTTCTCAGCAAACAGTCCAGAATTCGGATAAAAAGCCACACTTCTGTGGACCTAGCAAATCGAAAAAGGACACTTGAAGCGTTCTGGGGGAGAAGAGCCCTGCACCAGCACCTCCAGCACCACACAGGAGCTGAGCTCTTTGCTTCCCCCATCCTTCCCCCATCCCAAAGCTTTTCCTTGTGCCCCTGTGCCCATCGCAAACCTCACCTCGGCCGCAGGGACGCCCTCGGGGGGCCGGCAGTGCAGGACAATCATCCCCTCGATGGGAACCTCCTTGCCTTGGGGGTCTTGCTCAAAGTTTTTCCGTAGATCTGCAGGGTTGGACAAAGAATTCATCACCACTGGCACTCCTTGGGTGCAAGAATTCATCACCACTGGGATTCCTTGGGTGCAAGAATTCATCACCACTGGGATTCCTTGGGTGCAAGAGTTCCTCACCATTGGCATTCCTTGGGTGCAAGAATTCATCACCACTGGCACTCCTGCCCCAAAGCTCAAGGGGGTGTGGGGTGGGTGACTCTGGCACTCCCGGTGTGGCACTGGGCATCCCAGAGCTCCAGGACACCCCGGATCCCTGGATCCCACCACCTTCAGCTGTGTTCCCACTCCTCCACTCTCCAAGGCTGTCTGAGTTTGACACAAGCAGGGCCAGAGTGCCCAGGCCCAGGTTCCAGCCGTGCCTCCCATCTCCAGAGTCTTCCCACAACTGGAGAGCTCAGAGCAGGGACAAGGTGGGAGCCCCAGGTGCTGTGGGTGAATCGAGGGCATTGGAACTGGATTGGGAGCGAGAGAATCCAGCCTGGCTGGGCCCTGCCCTGCTCAGAGCAGTGTCTGATACCCTGCTCTGTGCAGATCTCACCCGAACAGCTGCAGGAAGGAGGAGGAGGAGGAGGCTGGGAGCAATTCACAGAATCCCAGAATGAACCAGGTCAGAAGAGACCTTTGAAATCATCAGGTCCAACCTGTGACCGAATTCCAGGCTGGGGACAAACTGCAGGCACGGCTGCCCCGGTGCAAACTGAGCTGCAGGAGTGTCTGGCAGTGCTGCAGCACCTCTGGGTGCCTGGGCAGAGCAGAACAGACACGAAGCACACCTGGATCCAGCCAGGATCACTGGATCTCTCCCAGGAATACCTGGAGAGTATTCCCTCACTGTGGAAGCGAAGCAAACCCCCAGGGATGTGCCTTCCTGCTGGAGGAGGTTCCTTTAGGAACTCTCCTCGTGTTCCCAGTGTCCCACAGCAGGGATTTACTGACTCCATTCGCTGCCCTGCTCACAGCTGATGAAATAGAGCCCTGGCACCGCCATTCCCAAAACCACCCAGACCCATCTGAGCAGGCTGCTGGCTGCAGGGAGATGCTCACAGTCCCTCATGCTCCTTTCCATGATTCTTTCTTAATGTTGATTTTTTTCCCTCCACAGACAACCAATTTATTTTCCAGCGCTCTCTTTAAAAAGGCATTCATTAACAACCGGCCTGCGCTTGTGCCTACAAATGCCTTTATTAGGCTGAAAAATGGAGCAGGATCCCTTTTTGCCTTCCCCACTATCACAAAGAAATACTCACCTGCTTCTTTGGAGAAATATAAAGTGCTGCAACACTCTGGACTTGCCTCACAATTCAGAAACTTCAGGATTTCAGTGAAAAATTGAAATAAAGGGATGAAATGAAGCCGCCGGTTCCTCAGTGCCCATCCCAGAGGCACTGGGAGAACGTTCTGGGTGCTGTCAGAGATTGGACCTGCAGGGTCTCATCCCTGACCTTCCCAGGGTGTTCCCCAAGCCATAAATCCCACCCCAGGATGTTCCTGCTGTGCCTGAGGAGCCCCTTCACCTCTGCCCTCCCAAACTGCTGCTTTTGCCACCAAAACACTCGGCTTTGAGCAGAAACAGCCCAGAATGGGCAGAGAGGAGCTCAGCTCCCACACAAAGCCTCCAGGCTCCCCCAGAACACTCCAGGCCCAGCTGAAGAGCCTCTCCACAGCGCTGTGAGGTTAATGGGGTCTCGGGGGCACTGGCAAGAGCTGATCCCACAGTGAGGGGCTGAAAGGCTCCTGCTGCTCCTGCTCCTGCTGAGCCTGGCTCAGATTGCCATTTTGTGGGGCTGGGAAATCACAGCACGGAGAAAAGTCAATAAAAATTCAATTCAGATAAAGGTCCTTTCAGCTCGGCAATGCAGGGGAATTATTGGCTCAGTGTTACGACAGTTAATGCAGTGAAATAAAAAATTGAATTTACACGTATTTAGACATTCAGACTGAATCAGCCAACAAAAAACTCTGCCATTAATTAAATGAAGGTTTTCTTACACTGTCCTTTTACTTCTGACAGATGTTTGTTTTATCCTGTCAAATGTTTACCCTGCTAAAAGACACCTTTTTAAATTGTCAGGAACTGCTGGAACACTCCCTGCAAAGTCTCCCTTCAGGTTCTGCCTTTGCTCCTGCCCTCCTCTCCCAGGGAACATTTCTCCCAGCTCTTTGCAGGCTGCACCTCCTTTCCCAGGAGAGGAAAGGGAAGATCTGAGCTGGGAGTTCAAAGGAAAAGGGTTCACCATAGGTTGGGGGAAGCAATGCTGAATTCTCTGCTGGCACGGGCGGTGTCAGGCTCTGCTTCTGCCACGAAAACATCCCAGGTCTGGTTCCAAGAACGGGATGAGGCTTGGAGCAGCTCCAAGCTGTGACAGCTGTGTTTGGGGTTGTGTCTCTGCAGTCCCCCTGGCATTCGGAGCATTTCCCCTTCCTGCGGCCCCCAGCAGGGTCTGTGGGAGGGGAGTGACGACCCCACAGCACATCAAGGGCGTGAGGAGTGGAACATCATCCCCCACCTTCCCTAAAGTCTCCAGGGTCAGCAGCTCCATCGTTTGTTCCCTGCCAACAGCAGCTCAGGGCCCTGCGGGGTTCCTGTGGCAGCCTCTTGGGGATGGGTTTATCCCGGGAAAGGAGGGAAGGTGTTTTTACCTCTGCTGACTCCTGTGGTTCCTGGGATGTTCCTGCCTGACCACATCCATGGAAGTTTAACCCCAAACCCAGCACCCCAGCCCTCAGAGCCCCAGGAAAGCGGGATTTACTCACAAGCGATGCGCACCGACGCCTTCCTGCTCTTGGAGGTGCCCAGGTGGCTCCAGGCCACGCACTGGCACCAGTAATCCTCGGGGCCGTGGAAATCCTCCACCTGCTGCCTCGTGACGTTGATGGAAACCTCGCGCACCTTCAGCCCTGTGGGGAGAGGCAGAGTGTCCTGGGGTGACTTTATGATACTGGTATCCCAAATCGTCTGGTTTATGTTATATATTAAGTTCTGCACCTTTAAGACTGGCTTTGAGAGTGAAGTGGGGGAAGAAGAAACTGCAGTTTGTGTTAAGGAAAAACATCACTCCCACACACCCCGCTCCTGGACTGTGGTGTCTGCAGCACGGACAGACAGCGGGACAGAGCTTCTCTCTGGCTTTTAGTTAGTTTTAGCTAGCTGAGGCAGAGGAGTTCCCTGGACCTTTGTTTTTTTTTTTCCTTTTCTCTTGGATCTGTGCAAACCTGCTCTGGACTGAACACCCAGCCTAACCCCGGGAGCTCAGGCCTGTGGCCCACCGGGGCCTGGGCCTCGGCACTTTCCAGCGCCGGAGGGACTGATAAGAACCTGAGCGAGCCGAGCTGCACCACATGAAAAGGACATTTTTTCTTCCTAGACTTGCCATCCCATCGAACAGCAAGAGGTTTTATTATTTAATATTATTCAATTTCTGTTAAATAAACAGCTTTTTCCACTTCTCTCCAAGGAATTTATTTTTTTTCTTTCCTGGACCAGTTGGTGGGGAGGGGTCATTTCCCTGGGGAAACCCCCATTTGGAGTTTTCCTCCCTAATTTGCCCTAAACTAGGACGCAGAGTCAGCAGGGACAGGCAGCGGGGCGAGGCCGAGGCACCCAAACCTGCCCTTCCACCAGCACTGCCACTTGCAGCCAGGGAAAAGCCTTAATTACTTCAATTAGTGCCGCTAGTGAAATTCTGTAAGATGAGCGCTCATAAGGCACCGGGCTCCAGGAATTACCCCCACCGTGATCTCTGCAGCTCCTCCCTCAGAATCCTTCACCTTTTTTGTTTGTCTGGAATTCAATCAGGTGCAATAGAAATGTCTTAAAACGACATCTCCATGCCCTGTCAAACCTCCCTCAAGCACTGGGGGAGCTAAGCACCGTGGCCCCTCAGACCAGGAGCGTTTCCCCCAGCCAGAGGCTGAGGGTAAATTCAGAGCTCCAGAATCCTCCCACACTTTTTGTGTGGCACCCCTGGGATATTCCCCAGACCTGCAGCCACCTGGCACGACAGCCTGGGGAGAGGAAATCCAAGCCAAACCTGGCGCTGGGAACCATTTGAAAGAGTCAGAAAAACATTAAATGAAAATAGAAAACATTCAGGCCTTGTTCTTGTTCCTCTCTCCTCCGGTGCAGTCCCCAGGCAGTTATTTCCCCTCCACTGGAAATGGAGGCAAACCCAATCTCACCGTATTTCATGCCTGTGGAGTTTATAAAGCAGCAAGAATTCTAAACCTGAACTCCATAAAAATTGGCTTCCACTTAATCTCAGGCATCATTAACAGCTGGGCAGCCACTCCTCAAAGGCACTGGGAAGTCGCTGTGCTCCTCTGGCAGGAGGAGGGACGGGGTTCACAGGGGATGCTCCAAAAGGGGAAGCTCAGACAAGCTTTAAATCCTGTACAAAAATACAGAATATTTGATACTTTTCCAGCCACAGGAAAAGGGGATTTTTTCTTCTTTTCATTAAGGCTGGCTTACAAATGAAACCCAGAGACAGGGACAAACCCTTGACAGCTCCCCAAGTTGTCTCCAGAATCCCTTCAGTCCCTCAAATATTTATTCCCCCTGCAACAAACAAACACAGGTTTCTTGGCTGCTTTTATTTGCATTTTGTTTTCCCTCGTGTTGATGCCGTTTTAAACAAAACTGTTTACAAAGCCTCCCTTTATTTCCTGACACGGTAACAACAAACCCTGAGGAACAAAGGCTCTGCCAGAGACCCTGCCAGGAAAATGCACCCCCTAAACAAAACCATCCCCGCTCTGCCAGCCAGAAATCCTTGGATTCTGGCAATAAAATGTTCTGCAGAGTGGTCTGTACAGGTTTAAGGTGAGAGAAGCTCCATCACTGGAGCTTCTGTTCCCTCTGAGAGGATGGGAGTGCTGGGGACAGAGCAGGGTTGAGGGTTTGGGATCCCATTCCCACCAGGAGCAGCTTCCTGAGGGGAAAATCCTTCCCTGGATCATGCAGAACTGTGCAGACCCCACTGCTCCCTTCAGTCCCGAGCTGATCTGGGGATTTTGGGAGCAGCAAACACAGACAGAGGTGTGGGAGCTGCCCCAGCACAGCCCCTGCTCACAACGGCAGGATTTTGATACCCAACAAAAAGAAGTCATCACTTGATGATGAATTTTGGAGAAGCTGAAGCCATTTCTTGGCTCCTGGGTGCTGCAAATTTCTGAGCAGGCGTCAGTGAATTCAGGCATTTACAGCTCCAGATTTATTAAGGTGGAATATTCTCCAGCCCAGCTCTTCCTTTCATTGACACGGCGTTTAATTAATCTATAAATCAGCCTGCATTTAGTGTGGCAAACAAAGAGCGCACGGTTTGGGGAAGCTGGTGGTTCAGCGTTTTGAGAATGGGCCAGGTAGGAATTCAGGTCCTCTTAAAGGTCTCCCAATTCACCCATGGACAAAATGAATGCATCCAAAACTGCAGAATCTCGGAATTGTTGGGGTTGGACGGGACCTCTGGAGAGCAGGGGGTCTTTGGGGGGAGTTGTGCTTTGTTTATGGAGAAAGTACAGCAATTTCCATTTGTTTTAGGAACAACGACAGCAAGCAAACCTATCGGGAGGTGAGGAATATTCTCCATTTATCACCCCCGTATTTCACCAGCAAACACATCCACCTCCCCTCTGCACCTCGGGAAACGCCAGGAAATCGTTCATGGGGAGTGACACCGGCTGAAAAATCCATGCAGATCAAAGCAGGCACCTCATAAACCACAGCGACATTTTACCTGCGACTCCAATAACTCCAATAAGCACTGCGAGCCCAACCCTTTAAATTATTGTGCAAATTAGAACCATCATCTTTTGTTTTACAGTAGAGCCGTGCAGAATATCAAGTGCTGGCTGTGGCACTGAAATGCTAATGGGCTCTGCTGGATGCTCGAGCTGCACAGACCGGTGCTGGCAGCAGATGAATAATTGCTCTCCGTGTACTAAACACAACGGAGCTGCAGAGAACTTCGGCATTTGTCAGCTTTATTTGTTTAAATGAGAAAAACACTGACAGCAGTTATGGCTGTAATCCTTCCAGTTATCAGACAAGGAAACTCTGTGAGCGGGGCTGAGCCTCTGCTGAACCCCAGCCTGAAATAGCCGGGCAGGGTCTGGAGTGTGCAGGAAATGCAGCAGAGGGAAATTAATCAGCACTTAATTACCAGACCTTCATCACAGCAGCATCCACGAGCTCGGCTCTCCCTTGATGAGGCAGAGCACAGAGAGAACAAAGTCCCTGCTCTGCCATGCTTGGGAATAAACAGGAAAAGCAGAGGCAGAGCAGCAAAAACACCACAGGGACACTCCAGGCAAAACCTTCCAGACATCCCCAGGCAGCAGCGCTGCAAAACCCTCCCTGTCCTGCTGCTCCTCCTCACAGACACTCCTGGGCTACTCTGAGGTTTTATTCCCCTCCTATAAAACCAAAATCGTGAAATCCTGGGCTCTGTGCCCGTGCTGGTGACAAAGCTCAGTGTGGGGAGTCCCTGCCTGGGGCTCCCCTCCACCAGGAGCCCCCACGGGTGCTCGGACACATCCCCTCCATCCAGCACAAGCCTCCTCCTCCTCCTGGGGCTCTGCTTGCTGCTCTTCCCTTCTCCACATCCAGCGTTTTGATCCCACACGAGCAGTGGAAGGATGGGGAGGGTCGGAACCTTTTGGTGCAGCGAGGCCCCAGAATCCCCTTTAACCAAAATCCCGTTTTTGGCACAAATCCCAGAGATGTTTTTCCCAGCTGGAGCCCCCAGGGCAGCAGACCTGGGCTGTGCCTGGGGACAGGCTGGACTCCAGAAACGAGGGCACATCTATGCCAAAAACTCCAACAGCTGCTGCTCCTGGAGGCTGAGGAAGAGTTCCAGGCTGATTCCTGGCTATGGATGGGGATCATGGTGAGAGAATTCCCTTCCGTGCTGCCTCCCTCTGCATTTCTGTGCCCTGAGGACCCTCCTGGCACCTTGGGACACCTGGGCACTGCCCTGCCTGTTCCACGCTGTGTTTTGGGGCCAGACCTTTGGGGCACCTCCAGCCCTGGGCTCAGCCTGACCCTGCAACATCTCTGTGCTCAGGGGAGCTGCCCATCGAACCAGGGATTGGATTTGGATTTTCTCCCAATCCAAACCATCCATGATCCAACTCTGTTGCTCAGGGTCTCAAACCTCAGCGATGTCCTTTAAACCCCACCTCGTGTTACCAATCTTGGTTTGTTCTGTTATTAACCCAAAGCTTAGAAAACATAATTGCAGCACTCACAGAGAGATTTGCTGTAACCATATGGAAGGAAAGCTTTTAGGGACGACATTTCTCCCATATTGATTCAGCAGTGCCTTCAGAAGTAAAGGTTATGCCTATTAAATTATTTCTGAAAAGGTAACTGCAAAAATTAAAATTCATTCAGATTAGCATTTACAAAAAAAAAAAAAAAACCTTTAATACGAAATTTCTTCAGAATGTGTCACTTCAAAAGAATGCCAAGCACTACTTTAGGAGGTGCAACTTCTTTTTAAATGGCGTTTTTGCCTCTAAAAAAGGAATTTCTTGTGTTGCTGGAGAAGGTGTTGTACACAGAGCGCTGCTGCCAAGGCTGGGGGTTGCCTAGCAATGCTGGGAGGGGAGAGGGGAGAAAGCAATAACAACCAGAATTGTGGAGCCACAGCATTAAATTGGTCTGCAATACTTATCAGCTAAATGAGAAAGGCTCCAGGCTCTGCTCGGAGCTGATAAAATCTCCTGATCACTCCCAAACATCTCCCTTCTCTTCTTCTCTTCCAAACCCACTGGACACTGTGGAACTCTCCTGCTCAGGTTATTCCAGCTCAGTTCCTGCCCTGGCTGGGGCTGGGGGCAAACTCCCTGGTCCAACCCAACAAAAATGCATAAAAACTGGAGTTTCCCTATTTCCAGCTCCTGCTCCAAACTGAACCAGAGGAAGCCCAGTTCCCTGCAGAGCTCCCTGGTGGGGTTGGAACTGGGATTCCCGCTGGGATGTGTCCGGGAGCAGCTCCTGGCTCACCTGTGGCCTCGTCCAGGCTCTCGAGGGACACGTGCTCGTTCTGGTGCACCCAGTCCCCGTTGCACTTGAAGAAGATCTGCATGGCGGGCACGGCCCGGCAGCGCAGCACGATGGGGTTGCTCTTGATGATGTAGGAATCGTCCGGCTCCTCCAGGAAATGGGGCAGGGTCCCCGGGGCTGAGGGGATGGACTCGGGCAGGGCCTCGCTGTTCTCATTTCCTGCAAGGCAACCAAAGGAACAGTCACGTTTTTCACGTTTCTTCCACAGTCCCATTTTACTGCTGGAGGGAGAAACCGGCTTTGGGTTTTATTTAGGATG